TTCCGTGCCTGCAAGACGGCGACTCCTCTGCAAGGGCGCCATGCCCTGCTGCGCTTCAACCAGTGGTCCTCCTTTGTCCAGAACGCCTCGTCCCCGCCAGTACTACCGCGACCCGGCCCCCGCCGAGTATGAGAAGTACATCGAGTCGTCCAACTTTCTCGCCGACATCAACAACGAGCGCGCGACGAAGAACAGCGCCTACGCCGACAACGTGGCCCGCCTCGTCAACTTTGTCATGATCATGTTCGAGCACGACACGACCGTCATCCCCAAGGAGACGTCGTGGTTCGAGGAGGTCAACGGCACCGAGAGCCTGCCGCTGCGCGCGCGCAAGCTGTACACCGAGGACTGGATCGGCCTGCGCGCGCTCGACCGCAAGGGCGGCCTCAAGTTCAGGAAGGTGCCCGGCGAACACATGCAGTTCACCAACGAGCAACTCAACGCCACGATGCACGAGTTCCTCGGTCCAGCTTCCAAGAAGTTTGCCGCCGAGGCGCCCGAGCTGCCTCTGCAAGACGCATGGTCTCAGGAGCTGTAATGACGAGACGCTATGTTAGCGAGTGATGGCATACGAAGACGGGATGAATTTTGCTTTAAGGGTATAGCTTTGGGTGAATCGAACATTGTAATCTGCCACGTCTCTTCTTTCTCAATTGCTTGTGACCGAGACAAAAGCCCCCTTACAAAAAAGGACCAACTCCATACGCCTGCATTCATGCATGGTACATACATAAGTCCACCGCCCAGCGCTCTTACTTTTTTTTTTCCTTCAGATTTTTGGTATCTCCTACTCTTTAGTTCTCGAGCGCCGCCTTGGCCTTGGCCTTCTGCTTCTTCAGCTTCTCCTTGCGCTCCGCAATCTGCGCGTCGAGCTTGCCGTCGTCCGCCTCGGGCACCGCCTCGGCCGTCTCCTTCTTGGACTTCTTGCCGCCAGCCGCCTTGCCGTCGTCGCCGGCCGCGAGGGCCGACTTGCGTTTCTTGCCAACGTTGGCCTTCTGCGCCTCGAGGGCGGCCTGCTTCTCGGCCTCAGCCGCGTCGGCGACGACGTCCTTGTCGTCGATGAAGAGCTCTCA